GCCACCCCCAGCAGCATCACCTCACCCCACGCCGTGCTGGGAACATCCACCTGCTGCTGGGAGGGAGATCCACAGTCCCTGCTAAATCACCACCCCGCTGCATACAGCAAATCCTCTTTATTCCCCTCCTCGTCCCCTGAACGTCCTTCTCCACCCCTGCCCACTCCTCAGGCCCCACCAACCAGGTGGACCTTTCAATTCCCACATTCACTTTGCAACCCAAAACCTTCCTATTTTTCCCCTCCCCGTTTTCTGTCTTACTCCCACGCGGCCGTTTATTCTCTCCCCAGCACAACTTTCCCCCAGCCTCCAGTGCTTTGATGAGCGCCGTTTTAAAAGAGAGAGGATGACGCTCCAGTTGAAGGAAACGCTTTTCAAAGGCTGCCACAAAAATAGCTGATAGGCCTGACGTTTCCTCGTTCCCTTTCGCTCCTTGTAAACAAGGAAAAGAGGCTGCCGTGCCCCAGTTTAGCTGCCAGGGAAGTTTCACTTCCCCGCTCCGAGGAGAAGCGGGGCAGGAGGAAAAGGAAGCCAGCAGGGACACGGCCTGGCACAGGTGGGTGTGTGTGGGCAAGACCCATGTGGGATGTGACTCTGTCTCCTCCTGCCCTCGGGAAACGTGTGCCCGGAGGCGTCTCAGAGCTGCTCAGCTCGCTGGGCATCTCCTGGCTCTGGCCTGCATCCCAGCTGGTGCCAGGCAGGGCAAGGAGCCAGGGCCTGCCCTCATCTCTGCTCCCTGCTCTCCCCGAGGGGATGGGGAACGCCGGTGCTGCTTCTCCTGGGCAGCCCCTGGCTGGTGGCTCTGCAGCAGGCAGCCTTCTCCTCTCCCGCTGGGAGGGGATTACAGAGCGACGGCACGGCGATGCCGCAGCTCGGCACAAGACCAGGGAGCATCTCATCCGTGGCCGGGTGTCACAGCATCCACAGGAGAGGATGGACCCACCTGGGTCCAGCTCAGCCTGCTCTCTCCCTCCTTTTGCCCTTCCCAAGAGCAGAAGCAGTTCTTCTGCTGGTCCCCTCCCTCTGCAGGATGAAGCTCCAGAGGCATGTTAGTAACGTTCTCCTTCCTCCATCCCCCCAGCAAAGCAGACCTATTTCAGGCAGGGAGGGTCTGCAGGTCCCAGAAGGGGAGAGGTGAGGAAGGGAGTCCCCGGGAGATGACAAAGAGACCCCAAAAAGATTTGTTGAAGCCCTCAAGGGACACCTAGGGATCGCCCTAGGTGGATTGGTGATCCCTGGCAAGATGTTAGCTGGAAAACAGGCAGCGAAGGCGCCTGCCCCAGCGCCAGCCTCCCCAAAACCTTCAACCTGTCCAGATGATTAAGCAGCCTCATGACACCTGGTGATGGCACAGCAGCTTCCTGTCTGCATCACGAGAGACTGGGATGGCAGTGCCCATCACTAACTCACCGGCGTCCTTGCACTGCTGCAGAGGACAGACCACAGAGTAACTGGAAGGCGAGAGGAGCCAAGAGAAGCTCAGAGAAGTCCATGTTCCTCTGCCTCACTCAGCCCCCCGTGCTTGGCTTGCCTAAACCCGAAGGGGACGATGCCGCATCTGTAGGAACGTGGTAGGACACACCATTCGTGGCCCAAGAAGCTCCAACTAGTCCACTGGTGACAAATAAGCAGATTTGCAGTAGATTATCCTCAACAAGAGAAAAAAATCCTGCCTTAGCCAAGTTGAGGGCAACGCTGCACCGCAACCGGGATCAGCCAGGGGAGGAGCTGGCAAGAGCATCATCCACACCATCTCACCCCCACAACGTCCACACCATCCCCACGGGCACCAAAAGTGCCGGCCCCCCAGGAGCTCGAGCCCCAGAGAACCAAGAAAAAGCCAAGTGCCTGGCAGGGAAAGGCCAAGCCTGTCCATGGAAGGACCAGAGCCCTGCTCAAGGACGAAGCGGCTTGTCTGGGAACAGGCACAGAGATTTGCTCCTTGCCTGGATACTTCAAAGGGCTTAAATCCCAGTAAATAAGCATGACTGTGCAAGAAGAAAGAGACTGGAATGAAAGAGCCGATGGTGTTTCAGAGCAGCAGCCTGTCCTGGGAGCTTTCCTACCCCGGAGGATGCGAGGAAGAGGTGGGTTTTTTTCACCTTCTACCGCAGCTTCTACGAGGTGGGTTTTTTTCACCTTCTACCGCAGCCTGAGCGGCAAAGCCTCCCGGAGCCGAGGCAGCCCACGGCAGAGCGCGCTCCGGAGAAGGGAAATGGCTTTCCAGATGAGGTGCCTGTGCCCACAGAGCTCATAAAAAAGGATTAGCATGTTAACCACGTAATTAAACATGAAAAACTTAGCAGGCGTCTTCAAAGGCAGGCAACAAAACCCAGAGGTCACACCGCCACGCTCGCTGTGCATCGGCTTTAATTACGGGGGCTCCTCCCAGGCACCAGATCTCCCCCAGCTGCTGGATTGGTCTTTTCACAAACTGCCCCGACTTCACTGCACCTCCTCGTGCTGCTGCCACGAGTGGATTTTGCCCCAGTTTCATCTGCCATGGAGTTTCTCGAGCCAGCTGAGATGGGACAGTGGGTTCCAACCACGGCCAGCCTGCCCCAGAGAGACATCCAATGCCTTCCCCAAGGTGTCCCGGAGTCCTGCAAGGTCACCCCTTGACTTCATAGACTCACAAGGTTTGGGTTGGAAGGGACCTTAAAGACCACCCAGTGCCACCCCCTGCCCTGGGCAGGGACACTTCCCACCACACCAGGGTGCTCCAAGCCCCCTCCAACCTGCCCTTGAACCCCTCCAGGGATGGGGCAGCCACAGCTTCTCGGGGCAACCTGGGCCAGGCTCTCACCACCCTCACACCAAACAAGTTCTTCCCCACAGCTCAGCTCCATCTCCCCTCTTGCAGGGTCAAACCCTGCCCCCTCCTCCCAGGGCTCCCCTCCCTCATCCAGAGTCCCTCCCCATCTCTCCTGGAGCCCCTTGAGGGACTGGAAGGGGCTCCAAGGTCTCCCCAGAGCCTTCTCTTCTCCAGGCTGAACCCCCCCAACTCTCTCAGCCCCCCCTCCCAGCAGAGGGGCTCCAGCCCTCCCAGCATCTCCGGGGCCTCCTCTGGCCCCGCTCCAACAGGTCCACGTACTTTTTGTGCCGTGTCCTCCCTCTTCCCCAAGGAATGCTCAACAACAGGAGCAGGGAACACCTGCACCTCGCCAAGAACGCCCAGGTTTAGGGTTTAGCACAAAACCCTAAATTTGAGTGATTTACGGCGCTGCCTGCAGCCTTGAAAGAGCCGGTCCATTCAAGAACAGCACAAACCTGTGCTGATTGTGTCTGGGTAGCAGCCAAGGAGGACTCTGCATCTGAAGCATCCTCCTGCCTCTGCTACGGAGCTCCAGAGACGGTGGGACACTGCTCCACAGTGGGCTGTCCCTTCTCCCCACGCAGGCAGGGCTGGGCAAGCCCCGGGAGGAACTTTTAACGAAGCCTTTTCCCGAGGTGGTTACCACGGGGTTTGCCTTCCCGAGTGCCATCCCGCAGCACCCACCCTGCTTCTCCCCTCCTCCTCCCTGCCACTGCTCCCAAACTGCTAAACCCTGGGGGTGTGCGAGAGCCACGGTGGAGGAAAGAGCAAAAAAAGCTTCCCCAAACTCATCCTCCCTGCGGAGGCGAGGGCAAATCATAGAATCATAGAATTGCCCAGGCCGGAAGGGACCTCCAAAGGCCATCTAGTCTGACCCCCCCGCAGTCAGCAGGGACACCCCCAACTAGACCAGGTTGCCCAGGGCCTCGTCGAGCCTCACCTTGAACATCTCCAGGGAAGGGGCCTCAACCACCTCCCTGGGCAACCTGTTCCAGTGCTCCACCACCCTCACAGTGAAGAACCCTCTCCTCATCTCCAGTCTAAATCTGCTCCCCTCCAGCTTGAAGCCATTGCCCCTCGTCCTGTCACTACAGGCCTTTCTAAACAGGCTCTCCCCAGCCTTCCTGTAGCCCCCTCAGGTACTGGAAGGCTGCTATGAGGTCTCCCCGGAGCCTCCTCTTCTCCAAGCTGAACAACCCCAGCTCCCTCAGCCTGTCCTCGGAGCAGAGGTGCTCCATCTCCCTGATCATCCTTGTGGCCCTCCTCTGGACCCTCTCCATCAGGTCCATGTCCTTCTTATATTGAGGGCTCCAGACCTGCACACAAATCCTCGGAGGAAAGCGGGCTCCGGGAAGAACTGAGGTGGTGTTAAGGGAGCAAGAGGCACTGGCTCCCCGAAGGAGGCAGGGGACAGGCAGAGGTGTCAGGAGAGTGGCTCTGACAGCCGGTGTCCCCAGGGGTACAGTGACCAACAGCTCTCCCTGCATCACCCTGCCCAAGAGCTACCTGCAGACACCTTCCTGCCGTGCTTTTACAACAGGCAAACACCCATAAAGCACCCACGTGCCGCCCCGCTCCAGGACGGAGGTGTGTGTTTTTAGCCCGTTAGACAGTTTTGGCAGCAACGAGGAGATGGGGGTTCGTGGTTGGTGGTTGTTTTTTTAAATCCCGAATTTCTCTCTGCAGCAAACAAGGGGAAAGGTCCTGGTTTACTTCATTAAAGGAATCTTCAAAGGCCACCCTGCACCTCCAATAGATTCCCAGCCACCGGCAGCAGCGCAAAAACAGGCATGTTTAATTATTTAAGCATCTACGCCTGCAACTCCCCCCCTCCCC